CGACCAAAACAGCGCCGCCAAAATAGCGCCGACCAAAACAGCGTCACCCAAAATAGCGCCGTACCCAAAATAGCGCCAATGAAAAACGCCCAAAACAGCGCCGATGCAAAACAAAGTTTTTTTTTCTTTTACAATGTACACTCATTTTTTTTTATTAGCATCTTTTAATTTTGATAATTTATTTAAAAATAACATGACCAACAACAATTAAACGATGCATAAAAAACATTAAAAATAGCATGAAATGAATAGTCCAAGAGACTCTGAAACATCATCACACTAGCGATGATGAACATAAACGGCTAGAGCTTTCAAGTGATCCGTAGTAGAAATAAAAAGTTAGTGAAAATGTTAAAAAAAACAGGCCGTAAAAGGAAAAAAAATTTGTTATTTTTGATTAAAATCAATTTTATAAACGCTATCGCAGGTTTCTATGAGTAAAGCTTTAAAAAATCGGATTCTCCGCCTTTTTTTACCCTAAAAACACAAAAAGTGGACAGAAAAGGTTAAAAATAGCAAAGAAAAAGCAAAAGCAAAAATCTATAAAATAATTTTTTTTACTCGTCGCTGTTTTGGGTACGGCCCTGTTTTGGGTACGGGCCTGTCGTTGGGTACGGCGCTGTTTTGGGTACGGCCCTGTCGTTGGGTACGGGCCTGTCGTTGGGTACGGCGCTGTTTTGGGTACGGCCCTGTTGTTGGGTACGGGCCTGTCGTTGGGTACGGGCCTGTCGTTGGGTACGGCCCTGTTGTTGGGTACGGGCCTGTCGTTGGGTACGGCGCTGTTTTGGGTACGGGCCTGTCGTTGGGTACGGGCCTGTCGTTGGGTACGGGCCTGTCGTTGGGTACGGGCCTGTCGTTGGGTACGGGCCTGTCGTTGGGTACGGCCCTGTCGTTGGGTACGGGCCTGTCGTTGGGTACGGGCCTGTCGTTGGGTACGGCGCTGTTTTGGGTGGCGCTGTTTTGACGGTGTATAGAAGATATTCAGCTGTAAATTTGTACCAAATGTTTTTAAGGTCGACGAATCGATTGCACTTATTCACTTCTTTGTTTTCTCATGAATCTGTCTTTACTACAAGAAAATAAAGCAATTCAGTGCACTAGAAAGGATGCGATTACAAATTCGATCAACTAATCAATCATTTTATGAAAAACCCAAAAATTTGGAACCAAAAATTTTCTTCAATGTTTCCTAAAATGTTCTAAAACTTTCCTTAACTTTTCTAAACTTTTCTAAAACAAAATCCTTCCTGTAATCGCTTCCAATTGCCTTCTAGAGTCAGCTTGAATATCTGAATAGCTTGAAGAGCTTTGGTCGCCTCTCATGTTCTTTGTCTTCAAGGCTCTCGTCGCCGTCCCGAAAGCGCTGAAACCAATTGCGACATTGACGTTCGTTGATAACATCTTCTCCGAATGCATTGCTTATAAAGCGATGGGATTCTGCCGCTATTTTTCTTTGTTTGAAGTCGTACAACAAACAAATCCGCATTTTATTTTTGATGTCCTTCCTTTTCTAAGACAAATTTATATTAAAAATCTAAGCAAATATAGACGAATAATATATCAATCGACGCGGCATAAAACGCTCTTTAATATAGTTTAAAAAAAGTACCACAAAAATTTATTTGAAAAAAAAATACAAAGCAAAAAAGACAACGGCAATTCATAATCCGACAACCTAATATTTAGTTACTAAATAAATACTCTTTTTTAAATTCTTAATCACAAAAGCCAAATTGTGACGAGTTTCTTTTATGGAATTCGAAAAATTCGTGCTTCTTTTTCTTATCTTTTCTTTTCTTTCTTTCTTTCTTCTCTTCTTTTCTTTCTATCTTTCTATCTTTCTTTCTTTATTTCTTTTCTTTCTTTCTTTCTTTTCTTTATTGAATTTTCCCTCTTTTCCCGTTCAATAACTGATAAATTCTAAAGAAAAAAGTTGAAAATCTAAAAATTCCTGAGAAAATGACTTCTTTTGAACACTTGACTGCTAGATAACAAAAAAATTCGCTGAAACCGGATTTGGATCAGCTTTTTGAGCCTTTTTCACAGCTCTTTAAAGCAAAAAGTCTAGATTTGATGTTCTAGATTTGATTTGATGATTTAAAACTAACTGCTTATTCTAAAGTAATTGTTTATTCCAAAGTAACTGTTTATTCTAAAGTAACAGCTTATTCTAAAGTAACTGCTTATTCTAAACTAACTGCTTATTCTAAAGTAATTGTTTATTCTAAAGTAACAGCTTATTCTAAACTAACTGCTTATTCTAAAGTAACAGCTTATTCCAAAGTAACAGCTTATTCTAAAGTAACAGCTTATTCCAAAGTAACAGCTTATTCCAAAGTAACAGCTTATTCCAAAGTAACAGCTTATTCTAAACTAACTGCTTATTCTAAAGTAATTGTTTATTCTAAAGTAACAGCTTATTCTAAAGTAATTGTTTATTCCAAAGTAACTGTTTATTCTAAAGTAACAGCTTATTCTAAAGTAACTGCTTATTCTAAACTAACTGCTTATTCTAAAGTAATTGTTTATTCTAAAGTAACAGCTTATTCTAAAGTAACAGCTTATTCCAAAGTAACAGCTTATTCCAAAGTAACAGCTTATTCTAAAACAACTGCTTCTTTTCCAAGCTTGAATCCTTCGTAAATAATCCAAAAATCATCTAGTAAACCGTTACCAAATCTCAGCCAGATCAAGCTCGTATTTCTCATCTTTTTGAAGCAAAAGTTCTAGAATTTGATTTGATGATTTAAAACGAACTGCTTATTTCTTTTTTTTGAATCTTGAATTCTTGATCTAAGGATCTAATGATGGGTATACTAGACTCGGTTTCCCAAGCTTCGCCCAATCATGTCAAGCCCTGGTAAGGTTCTACGGGTAGTATCGGATTAAACCACATGCTCCACTGCTTGTTCGAGTCCCCGTCAATTCCTTTGAGTTTCACTCTTGCGAGCACTTTCCCAGGCGGAGTACTTAACGTGTTAACTGACGGCACTAATGATCTAAGGATCTAATGATCTAAGGATCTAATGATCTAATGATCTATGGATCTAATGATCTATGGATCTAATGATCTATGGATCTAATGATCTATGGATCTATGGATCTATGGATCTAAGGATCTATGGATCTAAGGATCTATGGATCTAAGGATCTATGGATCTATGGATCTATGGATCTATGGATCTATGGATCTATGGATCTATGGATCTATGGATCTAATGATCTAAGGATCTATGGATCTAAGGATCTATGGATCTAAGGATCTAAGGATCTATGGATCTAAGGATCTATGGATCTATGGATCTATGGATCTAATGATCTAAGGATCTATGGATCTAAGGATCTATGGATCTAAGGATCTAAGGATCTATGGATCTAAGGATCTATGGATCTAAGGATCTATGGATCTATGGATCTATGGATCTATGGATCTAATGATCTAAGGATCTATGGATCTAAGGATCTATGGATCTAAGGATCTAAGGATCTATGGATCTAAGGATCTATGGATCTAAGGATCTATGGATCTAAGGATCTATGGATCTAAGGATCTATGGATCTAATGATCTAAGGATCTATGGATCTAAGGATCTATGGATCTAAGGATCTAAGGATCTATGGATCTAAGGATCTATGGATCTAAGGATCTATGGATCTAAGGATCTATGGATCTAATGATCTATGGATCTATGGATCTAATGATCTATGGATCTAATGATCTATGGATCTAATGATCTATGGATCTATGGATCTAATGATCTAAGGATCTAATGATCTAAGGATCTATGGATCTAATGATCTATGGATCTAATGATCTATGGATCTAATGATCTATGGATCTATGGAATTCTATGGATCTATGGATGAAGTTTCAACCAGATCAAGCTGATATTTCTCATCTCTTCTCAACTTTTCCTATTTTCCAACGATATGAACTTTGAGACCCCAAGGTCAAAAATAGAATTCCTACGAAAACGGAAAACTTAAAAGAATGTCACAAGATTGAGGATTCGAAGAGATGAAGTTCGGAAAGCATCGGTCATCACATATCATTTGAGGAGAGTGCCTTTGAGAGACTCAAAAGAGACTCAAAGACTATTGACTCAAAAGAGACGACTCCCATCACCCCCAGCCACTCCTTTTCCTCCATTTAACGGTAAAAGATTGACTCTCTCTGATTTGCGCGACCATCCAAGCGCACAAATAGTGAACACCGCCTCGAAAATCGCGCCTTTATTGATTTGGGTTTTGAACTTGTTAGGATTTTCTGCTTTACTTTCTGCTCACTGATTGCCCACTTTCTGTCGTACTTACTGCCAAACTTACTGGCAAACTTACTGGCAAACTTAATGTCCAACCTACTGCCTCACTTCCTGTTCTACTTACTGTCTAACTTCTGCCCACTTTCTGCCCACTTTCTGCCAAACTTTCTGCCAAACTAACTTCCTCACTTCCTGTCGTACTTACTGGCAAACTTAATCTCCAACTTACTGCCTCACTTCCTGTTCTACTTACTGTCCAACTTCATCCCTTTCTGCTCACTTACTGCCCACTTTCTGCCCACTTTCTGCCTCACTTTCTGCCCACTTTCTGCCAAACTTTCTGCTCACCTTTTCCCTCACTTTCTTCCCCACTTTCTTCCCCATTTTCTGCCCCTTTTCTTCCCCACTTTCTGCCAAACTTTCTGCCTACCTTCTGCCTCACTTCCTGATCACTTTCTGCCTTACTTACTACCCAACTTTCTTCCCCACTTACTGCCCACTTTCTGCCAGGGAACTCAGGTTTCTAACTCCAGAGACAGCCACACTAGCCACCCAAGCTAAACGATACAGTATCTATCTGTATCTTGAATATCTTTTAATGATCTTTTAATGATTTTACACTTTTTAAATACCTATTATCGTTATTTTTCATATTTTAAAGCCAAGCTCTTTTTTCATTTTATTGAAACTCTTTTATTGTTTATTGAAACTCTTTCAGCACAACGTGTTCGTAATGTCATGGAATCAGTTAGCCGGTCCGACGGCCGCGGACTCTCAATAAGAAATTCTCATATTCTTAAGCAATTCAATCAACAATCAATCACCAGGAATCCGATTTTCTGCACCATTACCCTTCTTTTCTTTCTCTTTACACTACAAACAGGTGACAGTCACGGATTTTATCAAAAATTTTCTTTATTTCTTGACTGATAGTAAGGACAACTTTGAAAATTGAGGAAAGAGAATTGATTGAATTTACTTTGAATTGATTGATCTTAATCTTAATCTTAATCTTAATCTTGATCGCTTGGATTGACTGATTCTTGATTGCTCTTAATCTTGAAGTTTAATTGATCTTAAGCCTGTTTTAAAGCAAAAGTAGTAGATCTTCGTGTACAAGGCAAGAAGATCAAGAAGGGTAGAAGATCTAGAAGGGTAGAAGAACTAGAAGAGTAGAAGATCAAGAAGGGTAGAAGATCTAGAAGGGTAGAAGAACTAGAAGAGTAGAAGATCTAGAGGGCCAGAAGATCTAGAAGGCCTAGAAGGCTAGAAGATCTAGAAGGCCTAGAGGGCGGGAAGATCTAGAAGGCCTAGAAGGCTAGAAGATCTAGAAGGCCTAGAGGGCTAGAAGATCTAGAATGCCTAGAAGGCCAGAAGATCTAGAAGGCCTAGAAGGCTAGAAGATCTAGAAGGCCTAGAGGGCCAGAAGATCTAGAATGCCTAGAGGGCCAGAAGATCTAGAATGCCTAGAGGGCCAGAAGATCTAGAATGCCTAGAGGGCCAGAAGATCTAGAAGGCCTAGAGGGCCAGAAGATCTAGAATGCCAAAAGATCTAGAAGACCAAAAGATCTAGACTCAATTCAGAGCCAAGGATAGAGAAGATTGGCCAGAATTTGACAAGAATTTGGCCAATTTTCCTATTTATCTCCTATCCTGACTCTAGACTAGACTACTCTAGACTTTAGAGCTTTTAAACAATTTTCAACAATAGTTTCAACAACTTTTCAGAAGCTCACCTTTGTCGAATTGATGACTGCTCAGCGTTTTACTCGCGAACTTGTGACTATGAAGGAGTCCAACCCGAATCAACTCATCGATATTGTGAGGTAAAAAGAGAAATGTGCAAAAGAGTGAATGGAAAGGTAGCTAGGAAAGCTAGGAAATGGAAATCTTTAAAAGCAAAGCAAAGCAAAGCAAAGCAAAGCAAAGCAAAGCTAAGCAAAGCAAAGCAAAGCTAAGCAAATCTCTTTTAGATCCTTTCCACTTATCGCAATTGTATCAATGAAACGAAACGATTCTGTCACAGTAATCTCAAGTTTCATTATGTTGAATTTCATCTAAAAAAGCAGGTAGCACAAGGGAATTTTTGATTAAATATAGTATGAGATTTAGTGGAAAAACTTTCTTTGTGAGAAGACGCTAGAAGAATCGCGAAACTCTGACAATCGGTTTGTTCAATTGTTCAATCGTTTACATGAATTCTCAAGAAATAACAATAAAAACGGTTTCAAATCTTTTCAAACCTTCAAAAATCTCTTCAAGTCTTTTCAAATCTCCTCCTGAGCTTTCCAAAACCATTTCAAAACCATTTTAAAGCCATTTCAAAGCCAAACATAACCATTCCAAAGCCATTCGAGCAACTAAATTGAATGAAAAGAAAGAATTCTTGAGAAAAACAAGAGAAAACAAGGGAAAACAAGGGAAAAACCAGGGTTAAATGCTATGCGATCTATACGAAACGATGCAGAATTTGATGCTGATTTTGAATAGATTTTCCGTTCTTGTTAAATGACAATCTATCAAGAGTTATAAGTGTTTAGAGTTTTGGATCAGAGAGATCAGAGAGAGGATCAGAGAGATCAGAGAGAGGATCAGAGAGATCAGGGAGAGGATCAGAGAGATCAGGGAGAGGATCAGAGAGATCAGAGAGAGGATCAGAGATTTGCGGAGCCGGATCCGGATCTGGATCTCTACACAAGCATACAAAGAACGAAAAGACCACCACGCGACACTATTACGACCACTCAAGATCACTACGCCTACGCGACACTACTAAACGCCTACGCCACACTACAACACTACCAAACGCCTACGCGACACTACGGCACTACTAAACACCTACGCCACACTACTAAACGCCACACTACTAAACGCCTACGCCCCAGTACTATTAACTGTCTATTGTAGTGTCTCGTAGTCGTCTTTTCATTCTTTGTATCCTTGCGTAGAGATCCGGATCGGCACATCCCTGATTAGGGCTCTGAAAATGGACTCTTGGCAGTTTTAACGGCCTCCTTGCCGACCCGTTTCGATACGGCTTTGGCTGAGTGATAGAGCTCTCGTCTCCAGGGCAAGACCTCGCAAGTTCGATCCCCGTTCGATCCATTCGAATTTTTCTTTTGTCAAGAAATGACTAATGTCCTCTAGTTAATGGATTTTTAGCATTTTCTTCTTGCCAATATGAATTGAATCGATTGTTCAATTGTTCTTGACGATTGTTCTTGACGATTGTTCTTGACGATTGTTCTTGACGATTGTTCTTGACGATTGTTCTTGACGATTGTTCTTGACGATTGTTCTTGACGATTGTTCTTGACGATTCTTCTTGTCGATTCTTCTTGACGATTGTTCTTGATGTTGTTCTTGATGATTCTTCTTGACGATTCTTCTTGTCGATTCTTCTTGACAATTCTTCTTGAATCAATCAAAATCATTAAGCTCGATTGGCTCTAATCAATTAGAGCTTTTTCTATTGAGTCTACCAATTAAGACTAAAATTTTCGATAAAATTAAAACTTATTAGCCGATTTTAAAGCTTCATAGCTTTCAAATGACAAACAAAATCTGTTTATCCATTCTTCGATAACCCATTAGCCTTTCAGCTGTGAACTAGCCGAGCCATCACATCTGCGAGCCATTCGTTACTGTACTCTTTTCGGTGGGGCTCATTTGCGAAAGTTTAACGGAGAAGCGCAAACGATGAGGGAAATTGGAGCGAGGCCCTTCGCTGATAATCGGTTTAGAAAAGAGAAGTTTTGAAAATGAAAGCTTTTAGATATTTCCTTGTTCAAGTCACTACATCGCATTCATCAAGCGCTGATGGGCTACTTGCAGTGCTCACTCGGGTCTGGCTTTTCGTTTGATAGCTACAGTACACCTAACTACAAATTACTCAGCTACAGTCTCCTCTAGCTACAGTCTCCTCTAGCTACAGTCTCCTCTAGCTACAGTATTCTCTAGCTACAGTATCCCCAACTTAAGCTCACTATGGCCTAGTATAAGTTTACCTGAATCTCTTTCCTTTTCCATCAACTCTATACAAGGCAACGAACCACCCAAATGCTATGCGACCTATACCATTGGACGCAGAATTTGATGCTCATTCCGAATAGCTATTCAATTCTTGCTAAATCACAACCCACCAAGAGTTTTAAGCGTCTAAAGTTTTGATCTCTGAAAATCTGATCATTTCGACCTCCTTGCGGCCTCTTAGCGGCTTCTTAGCGGCCTCCTTGCCCCCCCCCCCCCCCCCTCCCCCCCCTTCGCTTCTTCGGCCTCTTCGTGGCCTCTTAGCAGCCTCTTAGCGGCCTCTTAGCGGCCTCCTTGTGGCCTCTTAGCGGCTTCTTAGCGGCCCCCTTGCGGCCTCTTAGCGGCCTCTTAGCGGCCTCTTAGCGGCCTCTTAGCAGCCTCTTAGCGGCCTCTTAGCGGCCTCCTTGCGGACTTGATCCCGTACAGACATGGCCAAGTGATAGAGCTTTCGTTTCCAGCACGACACCTCACAAGTTCGATGCCCACCTTGGGGGTTTTTTTTCTTCAAAAAGTGTCCCTGAGTGAATCGATTGATTTCTCAATGTTTACCGAGGTGTTTCGGTCGCCGCAAAGTCTCGAAAAGTTTCCCCATTCTCTGACGCACTAGGGGAAAGATTTGATTGAGAATTTGATTGAGAATTTAAAAGAAATATTTAATTAAAGAAATCCAAAGTGTATAAGCTTTATTTTAATAAAATAATAAACTTTTTGTAGATCTCGGTGATTGTAAAAGCACACAATTGTACAAATGGCGTAAAGCTTACTTACGAAGCTGCAACCGATATGGAAGCATTGCCAAAATGGTTTGTTTTATGGCTGATGGTTATGGCTGATGGTTATGGCCAATGGCTGTGGCCAATGGCTGTGGCCAAGTGGTTAAGGTCTTAGTCTCTTAGTCTCTTAGTCGAGAGGTCAAGGGTTCAATTCCGCTGCTGGCTTTTTGACTCTTAAAGTTTGTGTTTTAGGTTTGTCGATGGATCGAGTGTCTATTCCGCGAATCATAAGAGGAAAGCCATTGAGGTGAGTGAACTTTGAGCCAGAGAGGCCTGAGATTGTAAACACAGCCTTTCTGGTGCACTGAATCCTTTCCTTTAGGTGCACGAACAGGACAAAAACTCGGTGGTGATCTATCTTCGGCATTGCGATTCGTCGATTCACATTCGACGTCATGGACCGAGGCTATCGGTTTCTGTGAGAGCTCCAGAGAATGTGATTACTGTACGTTAAACTACCGTAATCACTGTGTAGCCTGGCTTGTAGACAGCTAGACTCCAAGACAGCTAGACTCCAAGACAGCTAGACTCCAAGACAGCTAGACTCCAAGACAGCTAGACTCCAAGACAGCTAAACTCCAAGACAGCTAGACTCTAAACTAGTAAACTCCAGTTACGGGATGACAAACAACAGCAAACCACCGATACACCTAGTCTAAGCCTACTTTACTCTAGCTACAGTACCCTCTAGCTACAGTATACTCTACAGTATACGCTAAAGTAAACCCTAACTACCGTAGCACAGTATAGCTTAGCTATACCGTACACAAAGAAAAGTACACCCTGGCCACAGTACACCCTAATTGGTGGCTACAGTACAGCCTAATTGGAGGCTACAGTACACCCTAGTTGGTGGCTACAGTACACCCTAGTTGGTGGCTACAGTACACCCTAGTTGGTGGCTACAGTACACCCTAATTGGAGGCTACAGTACACCCTAGTTGGTGGCTATAGTACACCCCAATTGGTGGCTACAGTACACCCACTTCTTACCAAGGAGGCCGAATTATAGAAAATTTGCTCGCAGAATGACTCCTGGAGGTTAAGAGGTCTTTATCGAGCTTGAAAAAACGTCAGCCGATGGCCTAGTGGATAGTGCGCTCGCCTAGCGAATCTCCGGCCTCAATTTTCCTCTCGGGTTCAATTCCGAGCCTAGACTTTTTTGATTTTTATCATTACAAACTCTCTACACAAATTAAAACAACTACTCGAAAGGAAAATTGAATCGGTTTCTTGAAATTAAGTAGATAAACTGGATAAAGACCCGCCGAAAATCATAAAGACGAAATCGGGAAAAGAATCGGCACAAAACTGATCGTACACAAGGGAAAGGACTTGTAAAATGTACAATAGTACATCGTACTATGGACTAGGCCATTTGGAGAACACCGGTTGAGTTCGATAAAGCTTCAGGAGCGATTTTTGGAGCAAAGTTTAAAGCCGTTTGAGAATAAGACCTCCTTGGCTCTGCTTGGACAGAACAGAACTTGTTTTCGAGCTTTGGCTTGGCTTGGGTTGGCTTGGTTTGGATTGGCTAGCTGGCTGGCTGAGCTGGCTTGGCTTGGCTTGGATTGGCTAGCTGGCTGGCTGAGCCGGCTTGGCTTGGATTGGCTTGGCTTGGCTAGCTGGCTGGCTGAGCTGGCTTGGCTTGGCTTGGCTTGGCTTATCCAGGCTTGGCTACAGTATCCCTTTTACAGTATCCCTTTAGGTTACTATAGCCAAGAAGTACCCCGATTTCCAGAAACAGCCACACTTCGAGAGTCAACTTTGCATCACCGGTTCATCTCGTGTTTTCCCGTTAGCCGAAGCTTTAACCGATCCGATTGCTTTCTCTCGTTGCCACGCAATTCGTGAACACGTTCCATTGAAATTGGCTGCAAGTAAGCGATAATATTCAAGAGTTTTTTCATCCATCAAAACAATCGATTTCTTTAAATCAAATCAAATCAAATCAATCAATTAATCAATCAATTCTTTTCTTTTTCTAGATCGTTGTGCAAATTCGAATCTTACTGATCAATTCTTTGATTCCTGCACTTTTGATCTCTCGATAACAGGTTAAATTTCTTTATTTTTTATCATTTTCATCTTTTTTCTATCATAGTTTTTTAAATTTTAAAGCTTCATAGCTTTGAAATGAAATATAAGATCTGTTTATCCATTCTTAGATGATCTAAATGGCCACAGATGAAAGGCTAATGGCAACAGATGAAAGGCTAATGGCCACAGATGAAAGGCTAATGGCCACAGCTGAAAGGCTGATGGCCACAGCTGAAAGGCTAATGGCCACAGATGAAAGGCTGATGGCCACAGCTGAAAGGCTAATGGCCTTTCAGCCTAGCCGAGCCATCACATCTTAATAGTTAATAAAAGAAATTTAAAAGAATAATTGAGGTTATTAAATCGATGGAAAGTGAAATGCTTCGTTTTAAGCATCACTACCGTAATCATTACCGTAATCACTACCGTAATCCCTACCGTAATCCCTAGCGTAATCCCTACCGTAATCATTACCGTAATCTATGCCTTTATCCCGATTTCTCTAGGTGATGAGTACCTGGTGGCTTCGGCGATCGACGCTCAATCCGATATTCGTTTCCTTTTCCCTCATTATCAGTATGTGGAACGAGGCAGAATGATTCTTCCAGGTAAAAATTGTAATTTTTCCTCAAAATCTCGAATTTTTCCTTAAAAATTGTAAGAAACCCTTCTAGTCCACTGGAATCGTCATTTTCTTGATGATAAAAGAAGATTAATTGGATGAGTCATAGGCGATTCGATGCAGAATTTGACGCTGATTCCAAATCTGCTTTCCTTTTTTCCTACGGAGCACTCTATCAAAAGTTATATGAGTTTAAAGTTTTTCAAAGCAAACATCGACTTGAAAACCCGCTTTTCCGGGGGATGCAAAGCTGCAGCTGTGGTCGAGTGGTAGTGGCCTAGGATTCAAGGCAGAGGGAAGGTGAGGGGTCTCTGGTTCGATTCCGGTAGTAGTCCCTCAAAGGCAAACAGCCACCGGAATCGAACTAGAGACCCCTCACCTTCCCTCTGCCTGAATCTAGACCCACCACTCGACCACAGCTGCAGCTTTGCATCCCCGGAAAAGGTGAGGGGTCTCTAGTTCGATTCCGGTAGCTGTTTGCCTTTGAGGGACTACTACCGGAATCGAACCAGAGACCCCTCACGTTCCCTCTCGCCTTGAATCCTAGGCCACTACCACTCGGTCACAGCTGCAACCGTCGCCCCCCGGAAAAGGGGCTTTTCAAATCGGGGTTGTCCGTCAAAGGCAAACAGCTACCGGAATCGAACCAGAGACCCCTCACCTTCCCTCCTGTCTTGAATCCTAGGCCACTACCACTCGGCCATTCCTGCAGCTTTGCATCCCCCGAAAAAGGGGCTTCTCAAGCCGCTGTTTGCTTTGAAAAACTTTAAACTCATATAACTTTTGATAGAGTGCTCGGTAGGAAAAAAAGGAAAGCAGATTTGGAATCAGCGTCAAATTCTGCGTCCATTCATCCAACTCATCCAGTTGACTTTCAGCTCCCTTTCCTTTTTCATGAAGAAAATGACGATTCCAGTGGACTAAAAGGGATGGGTTTTCAATTTTCTGACATAAAGTACACGGAAAACAATGATTTGTTTCAGAAAAACCCCTCGAGATCCCATAAAACAATGATTTATTTCAGAAAAACCGCAAGAGATCCCATTTTTGTGGAATGATTGTGTCCGGGTTTCGTCGATTTCTTCAAATTTCTCAATATTTCTCAATATTTCTTTTCATCGCTTTTCTAACGTTTTTCTAGATTGTACATATTTGTTAAAAGATAGAAAATGAGCTGTACTTTGTGCTCTCTCAAACGCAAGCTATTTGGCATTCGTTTGGAGGTTGTAAACGCAAGCTATTTGGCAAGCTATTTGGCAAGCTAGGCAAGCTATTTGGCTTTCGTTTGGCTTTCGTTTGGCGCGCATAAACGCACGTCTTCTAGCCTCTCATTCAGTACTTTGTTGCTCGCTTAAATGCAGCCTTTTCTGGCATCCTCATGGAAGCAGAAGCAGCTTAAAAGGTATGCCAAGAGTCGTGCGTTTCCACGGGCACAAAGTGCAGCTCATTTTTTTTGGATTGGATTCGCATTCGATTGGATTCGATTCGATTCGCACTCAAAAAATGCAGTATTTCTCCGTCTACCTCTTTTCTTTGTCTAGTTTTTCTTTTTTTTTTATTTAAATAATCGATCTCTTTTTACATAAAAAGCGGGTACAAAGATAAGAATAAATAATTTAAAAACACAAAAACCCAAAAAAAAAAACGATTAAAATAAATATTTTCTTAAAAAAATAGAGTTAAAAACGAAAGAATACAGTTAAAAATTAAATAAATAACACATTTATTTGTTCATTTCCTTTAATTGAGCCATCAAAGAGCTCAAATCGATGGCTGGGGACGAGGTTTCAGCGCTTTCCATCTAGATTTCTCGAATTTCAAGATTTGAAGATTTCAAAAGAGATTTCAAAGCTATTTCAAAGCCTACAAAGGCCTACAAAGGCCCAGAAAAGCCTTCAAGAGCCTACAAAGGCCTACAAAGGCCTACAAGGGCCTACAAAGGCTTACAAAGGCCTATAAAGGCCTACAAAGGCCTACAAGGGCCTACAAAGGCCTACAAAGGCCTACAAGGGCCTACAAAGGCTTACAAAGGCCTACAAAGTCCTACAAAAGCCTTCAAAAGCCTACAAAGGCCCACAAAGGCCTACAAAGGCCTACAAAGGCCTAAAAAGGCCTACAAAGGCCTACAAAGGCCTACAAAAGCCTAGTAAACTCTCTATTAATTTCCCTCAAAATCCCTTCAGTATAGTCCAATTTGTGCTCCAATTTGTGCTCCAATTTGTGCTTCAATTTGTGCTTAAAACTTGTAAACAAACCCCTTCTAGTGCACTAAACGCCTCAAGTCCCCCCTTGCAACCAAATTCAGACTGTTTTTTATAAATTTACCAAATTATTATCGTTTTTTGAATCAAATAGAGTTATTTCAGTGCACTAGAAAGCGTATGTTTGCAAAGAGCTTGAAAATAAACAGATATGAATTGCAAATATTCGTTTTCTTTACCTCTACATGCTTTACAGGATCATAGAGAAGTTGTAGACCTTCAGCCACTTTACGCGTCTCTTGTTTTATCTCGGGCTAAATTGATTCAATAAAATGATGATCTCCAATCGATTCACCGACCTCGAAAACCCTTGGGTACAAATTTACACGAAAATATCTTCTTTTTAAGCTATTTACAAAGGAAAAGAAGAGAATCGCTGAGTGTTCTTTGAGCGCCCGTGTAATCGCTCGCTTTCTGGCATACCCTGATTCTGTAGGTCCAGAAGATAGGTCCAGAAAAGTCTCTTTAGTTAGGCGCATTTTCGAGCTTTCTACATCGCCTGGTACCCTTGGTCCCGCGCCTGCGCCCCTTCCAAAACCTGCGCCCCTTCCAACCAGCGCCCCCTTTGAGTGCTTTCCCCGCAATGAATCAAATCAGTGACGTGGTGCATTGCGAAAGTTGATGACTACGGGTCCAAGGAAGTCCGATTGCGATTCCCTCTTCGGACAATTTTCCTTGTTTTTTTGGCCCAAATTATATTGGAATAGTAAAGTATGGCTCGAAAAAGGACAAAAGGGCATTCGGGCTTTCAAATGATATCAAAATTCATAAAATGAATATCTCCAATCGATTCTCCGACCTCGAAAACCCTTGGAGACAAATTTATTCGGTAATCGCTCGCTCTCTGGCACACCCTTCTGATAGATAGGTCCCAAAAAGTCTCCTTGGTTAAGTTCATTTTCGAGTTCTCTAACCTGGACAGCTGGGCTGGTACCCGTGGTCTTTTAAAAACGAGCGCCCCCTCCATTTGAGTTCTTTCCCTTTCTTGGATCAAACCGGGATTCGAACCTATGGCAAAAATGGGTTTAGTATGGGTTTGGTATGGGTTTAGTAGACGTCCTTACTATCCACTAGATCGTTGGGGTGCTGGGAAAGGAGAGCAGCGGAGGTTACTTAACCTCGCGCAACCGTTTCTCAAGAGCCCAAACTTAGAACGCGTTTTTCTCGAAAACTATGCCTTCTTTTGAAAATCCGAAAACACCATCGTGATCACCGTATTCGACTTGTCTTTCCACTTCATTTAGGTGCCAAAATTTCTTCTGACTTCTGATCACTTCTGACCATTCTCTTCTGACCACTTCTGACCATTCTCTTATCAGAAATCCTAAGAGAATCGAGAGAAAACTCGAGAGAATCGAGAAAACTCTCAAAGTCAAATCACATTGTTCTCTAATTTTAGCTCTAAACAAATCGCATTGTTCTCCACTCACTTCTGCCCATTCCTTCTGCCCATTTTGTTAGGCTTAGTATCATTTGAAGCTCCCCACTCACCGCACTTTCCTCAACCAACTCGATTCCCCAATCATTATCCTCATGCGTGATCTGATCGCTTTCAATTACAATCTCTTTTTCCACGACTTTCTCATTAGCAATTCGTTCCTGAAACCAAAAATCTCAAAATTCTTTCAAGAAACTAAAGTACTTTGTACTCCTTTTGCCGTTTTCTGCAGTATTTATCATCACATTCCGGATTGGCGAGCATTGACTGTAAAATGAATTTGATCTTGTAAAAATAAAGCCAGAAGCCAGTAGCCAAAGTCCACTGTAACTGGGAGCTGTCCAGCTCCCGGCTGTCCAGCTCCCGGCTGTCCAGCTCCCGGCTGTCCAGCTCCCGGCTGTCCAGCTCCCGGCTGTCCAGCTCCCGGCTGTCCAGCTCCCGGCTGTCCAGCTCCCGGCTGTCCAGCTCCCGGCTGTCCAGCTCCCGGCTGTCCAGCTCCCGGCTGTCCAGCTCCCGGCTGTCCAGCTCCCGGCTGTCCAGCTCCCGGCTGTCCAGCTCCCGGCTGTCCAGCTCCCGGCTGTCCAGCTCCCGGCTGTCCAGCTCCCGGCTGTCCAGCTTCTCCAGCCCAGCTGTCCAGCTAGATTTCCTATAGCTTTTGACAAAACCCACCCTGCTACCTCTTTCGGGAAAAAGTCGTTTAAAGCATTGTACCCGACATACATCGAAACCTCGCCAAATTTCAGTAGATATCTAGAATAAATCGTATCTAAAAAGTAGAAAACAAGAATTTCCTCACTTTAACGTGTTCTGCACGAGGAAACCAGCTACGACGGCCATCGTTGTCGGCAAAGACGCCGCGCAAACACCGTCTCTTTTCAGCGTCTTTTCATCGATATTCATCGCAACGACTAGTGGAGGTAAGCACTGAAATTTGATTTGTTATTTGAGGGATTTGAAATCTGAGATTACTTTGATTCGAATTGTTATTTTATTGCCGACTTTACTCTAGCTAGGACTTTGGTAGTTGGAAGTATATAAAGAACCCAAATTCATACTTATAAAGAACCCAAATTCGATATGGGATCGAGCTGACAAGGGAAGTCCTTCAGTCTGGGATTGAGCTGAGATCAAATGGATCTTATAGAATCATCCATGCTGATATGTATATAACTTCCATTTGGTCTCAGCTCAATCCCAGATGCCGACCTCAAGGACTTCTCTTGTCTTCTCTTGTCCAGCTGTCCAGCTTCTCCAGCCCAGCTGTTCAGCTTCTCCAGCTTCATTTCTGAGTTAAAGCTTTAATAATATGTACTACGGCACGACGGTAGCTATAATCTTCCAAAAAACTCGCCGCAAAACAAGCCGTTCGTCCCGGTTCGATGAATTGAATGTGCCCGGAGACGGCGTTCTCGCTCACCCCCGACTCCATCCAGATTTGCATCTCCTCGTTGCAAGCCTTAAACCTTTTTCATTCATCGTTATAAATTCTTGAGTAGCTTTTAAATTATTAAATTAATTTAAATTATTAAATTAATTTAAATTATTAAATTATTTAAATTATTTAAATTATTAAATTATTTAAATTATTAAATTATTTAAATTATTAAATTAATTTAAATTTCAAATCATCTTACCGTATTTATTGTCATTCTTGCTTCAAAATTGTCAACACACGAAAGCACAAGATCCACTTTTCCACCAGTTAAAGAACCGTGCCTTAACTTTGACTATATGAAGCCGGAAAAAATGCGTTTACAAATTTCAAAATTCAAAAAAGTCAACCAAATCCAGTCAACCAAATCCAGTCAACCAAATCCAGTCAACCAAATTCAGTCAACCAAATCCAGTCAACCAAATCCAATCAACCAAATCCAGTCAACCAAATTCAGTCAACCAAATCTAGTCAACTAAATTCAGTCAACCAAATTCAGGCAACCAAATCCAGTCAACTAAATCCAGTCAACCAAATTCAGTCAACCAAATTCAGGCAACCAAATCCAGTCAACCAAATTCAGTAAACCAAATTCAGGCAACCAAATTCAGTCAACCAAATTCAGTCAACTAAATCCAGTCAACCAAATCCAGTGAACCAAATCCAGTAAACCAAAAATTCTTTACCTTATCCGATCCACAAATTTATTAAAGTTTTCCATGGTGGTGATGTTCATGTTGTGAGTTTCGAACTCGACATCGGGATTGATATGTCTGGAAAAAAGTTGGCTTTTAAATTGATGAGTTCTGTTTTTTTAGCAGAAATAGAGATTTAGGGGAAATTAGAGGATTCGAAGATTGAGGCAACTCCAAGGAATCATTTTGATAAAAATTGTGGAAGTATTTCTAAAAAAAGAACCAAATTTTGAGAAAACAAGAAAAATGAGGCTTAGCTAAATGGGGAAACGGGTGTCCTTTTATACGCGTGAGAGCACGACATTGTTTGGGGTACGGTATTTCTGGTGACTTATTAGACGGCAATTGTTTAGGCGGCGACGATTGTTTGCGCGATGACGATTTGTTTTGGGCGACGTTCTCAAAGCCCTATAGGGGCTGTGTGCCAGATGGAGTGCGATTGTGCGCGCACACAAAGAACACCTCGCAGTTTACGATCTTTTTCTTGGTTCTGTAAATGATTCCCAAATGAGATTCAATGTCTGTCTGAGAATGTGTGAGCAACGATGATTGTCTGGCCGATGATGATTGTCTGGGCGATCAGGATTGTTGGGCGACGACGATCGTTTGGGCGGCGAGGATCGTTTGGGCGATCAGGATTGTTAGGCGATCACGATTGTTGGTCGACCACGAATGTCTAGGTGACGACGAATGTCTGGGTGACGACGATTTTTGGCCGATGACGATTGTTTGGCCGATGACGATTGTTTGGACGATGACAATTTGTTTTCGATGCCCTCCTCAAAGCGCCTATCTATCGGGACCGTGTGCCAGATGAAGTGCGATTATGGCCGCACACAAAGCTCACCTCGCCACAATCATTTTTCTTTCTTTTGCTCTGTAAATGATTCCCAAATGAGATTTAATGCTTAAAATTTGTACCCTAGGGTTTTCAGGGTCGTAGAATCTATTGACGGGACTTATTTTAACTCATTGTCCCCACTTTATCAACTTTATAAGCATTCCCTTCCACTTACATTAATGTGTCCTTAGCCGCTTCCACTTTCGACAAGCCACTTTGATGCGGTTGATAGAAAAGGCGATTCATGTTGGCTAATTCTACCTGAAAAGCCGAACATCAGTGCACTAGAAAAGGGCGTTTAAAGGTGAGCACAAAGTACAAAAAGTGAGCTTAACCTTATCATAATCGAAAAGAATCAATTTCCCAGCGCCGCATCTCGTCAACATATCAGCGACAATACTACCAACACCTGAATTTAGATTGATTCGATTAATTTTACCCATTTTCTTTTTTGGCCACCTCCAACTCCGACAACAATAATGGTTTTCTCTCGAATTCTCTCATAATCATCAACAATTCCCATTCGTTTTAAAGCCATCAAACGGCTGTAAGGATTTGAGTCGACCACCTAGAAGTAGAGCATTTGTAAAGCTTTTAATATTTTGAAGAATGGATCTGAATTGGAATCGATTCTCCTGAATTCTCACTGAATTCAGATCGAAAACCAAATTCTCTTTTTTTAACAGGATCTAGAAGAAATATAGACAAAATTTAAAGCAGAAATTGATCCCAAAAATGATGTGATTTGAGGTGACGCAAAGAAAATGGGTGAAGCTGGTAAAAGAAGAAGGAAAAGGATCCGAACTTGGGAGGAACGGACTCGTATGCGAGCACTCTACCACTAGGCTACAGCTGCAGTTGCTGATGGGTGACGAAAGCTTGCTTTAAGCTTGACGAAAGCTTAAAGCAAAAGCTCGCGGTCGGCGAGATGGCGGCAAGCGGAATCGAACCCGTGAGAAGAGAGGGCATTCGTTTTAGAGTCTAGCACGCTATCCCCTAGACCATCGCTGCTTTGAGAGCCTCTCCGCGTAGGGGCCTCTTATAGCTAAGGAGCCAGATGGAAAGCGATTGTGGGCTCGAACAAAGAACTCCGTCATGTACCGTCGGAGACTTTTTGGGGCCTAATCTATCTGAAAGGTGTGCCAGAGAGCGAGCGATTACCGGAAAATGGGCTCAACTGGGGGAGGGCTCTTTTAAAGCATAACGGGCACTGGACAAACTCGATAATGATTCGAAGGGAGCCGGCTTCTCGAGACCTATCTATCAAGACAATGTGCCAGAAAGAGAGTGATTACAAGGTAGGACGAAGAACGCACAAAGAACACTTAATGATTCTTTCTTATGCTTTTTAGATTGCTTAAAAAGAAGATATTTCGATGTAAATTTGTACTCAGGGGTTTTCGAGGTCGGAGAATCGATTGGCGAATATTCATTTTATCAGTTAGAACTCGCCAAATTGCTCTAAACAGCTCTAAACAGCTCTAAACTTTTCGATAAACCCGGGCACTTATTTAGCTAATTTATTAGCTTACTAGCTAGCTTATTAGCTAGCTTATTAGCTAATTTATTAGCTTATTATGCTTAAAATGCTTAAAATTTGATTCTATTGAGAAATCGATTCTAATTCAGCCTTTTTTTTCTTCATCTTTTTAATCATATTTTTAAAAGATTACTGATGAAAAGAGCTAGAAAAGGAGTTAAATAATGTCTTTAGTCTGATCAGCTCTTTCCCTAACAATCCTCTCGTTTCTAACTTGATTACTATAGAATTCTAAATAGCCAAATAATTTCTATCTATACTTCTCTGATTTTCTCACCTCTGCACTCATCTTCGTGATCTTTTCCCTTTTCGCATTCCCTTGTTCAGCATTCATTTTTGCACTCTTGCTCGTTTGAAGATCTTCTTTCAACTTTTGAATCCTCGTGTGCAAATCAGTGATCTCCTTTTTACTCGAATCGCTCATAAGCTGAAAATTTGAAATAAAACTCTCTAATAAAACGCCACCGACTCCTACAATCGCCTGGTTTAACTTCTTTTTAGAAAATATTTTCTTTCTCAGCCTCTAGATTTTGCCGAACTCTTTTGGTATCAAAAATACTAGATTTCAAGGGCTATCTTTTGACTTTATAAAGCACATTGTAGCTTAAAGCAGCGAGAAGTATGGGAGTTTTAAAGTTAGACTAAGCAACTGTACGATTGGCATTTTGGCGTTCGATTAGAGTATTTACGGCATGTTAATGGATTTGAAATGGATTCTATGGTTCCAATAGGTTCCTTCCAGGAATATGGTTTCAAAATGGTTCCAATATGGTTCCAAGATGGGTCCAATATGGTTCCAATAGGTTCCTTCCAGGAATATGGTTCCAATTTGGTTCCAATTTGGTTCCAATTTGGTTCCAATATGGTTCCAATATGGTTTCAATATGGTTTCAATATGGTTTCAATATGGTTCCTCAGCACACCGACAGAAAGACCGACAGAAAGACCGACAGAAAGACCGACAGAAAGACCGACAGAAAGACCGACAGAAAGACCGACAGAAAGACCGACAGAAAGACCGACAGAAAGACCGACAGAAAGACCGACAGAAAGACCGACAGAAAGACCGACAGAAAGACCGACAGAAAGACCGACAGAAAGACAGACAGAAAGACAGACAGAAAGACAGACAGATACCGTAGCCTCCCCCCCCTCCCTCGCCTTTTCCGCCATTTCATTTCCTCTTTTTTGCGCGCTAATTCTTTTTCGATAGTTTCTATTGGCATTTCTTTTATATAGATGTTAATTTTGATAGTTAATTCAAGAAATAATTTAACCTAATTGCAAATTGATTCACGGAAAACAGAAAGACAGACAGACAGATACTGTAACCCTCCCTTTTCCGCCATTTCATTTCCCCTAATTCTTTTCCGATAGTTCGATTGACATTTCTTTTACATAGTAGATATTAATTTTGATAGTTAACGCGAGGAATAATTTAACCTACCGTAAATACTGTCAATTACCGTAAATATTGTAATAGTACCCCACACCGATAATGACGGTGCGGAGTGTTGCGTAGTCTAGCTTTGGACGCGTTTTTCTCGACATTGGTTTATGCTACAATGCGCGCTTAGGTATCAAAAAATAGCTGAAATTCAGGGCTATTTTATGCCATCAAAGACACATTTTTTGAAAGTACGGGCGTTTTGAAAAAAATGAAATAATGAAATACTTGCGACTACGCGACTGTACGAGGGGGGAGGGGTACTATTACAGTATTTACGGTAATTGTAAATTGATTCACGGAAAACAGAACAGACAGACAGACCAATACCGTAACCCTCCCTTTTCCGCCATTACATTGTTGAACCCGCAAACACTAATACTAAACTCTTTTTTTACGTTTTTCTTAACTAGTTGCAATAAGTTTATACTTTTTTCCTAATTTTAAGATCTTTTTAGCATATTTTAGCATTTTACATTACATTTTCAAATAGAGTGACCAGAAATCCCCCATCCTTTTTTTTCTAGACTCATATTTCTGTTTTTTCTAGACGAAAACGATTAATTTCTTTTTTTAAAATGAAAATAAACATCATTTTCTGTATATTTTTAAGATTTCATGATCAAAGCATCGATAAATAATTTTTTATGAATGCTTAAAAATGGCTGCAGAAAAAATAACGAGCTTCAATTGAAATGGGGTTTTTTATAGGGGTTTTTATCGATAATCTTATCGAAAATCATATTTTTTTTGAACGAAACCTACTTAAACACAACAAAAACTTAACTTTTAGAAAAAAAAACTACAAAAAAACATTATCTTATTGGGTTTTTTTAAAAAAAATCTAAATTTGACTGGTTTTTTTTTGACTAACTATTTTTAAGGATTCATAAAAAATTTTCTATTCATTCTATGATCATGAAATCTTTAATAAATAAAGAAAATGATATGAATTTTCGTATTTTAAAAAGAAATTAATCGTTTTCGTCTACAAAAACAGAAATTTGAGTCTAGAAAGGACGATTGGATATTTCTGATTATCCTGTATAATAATAATAAAGAAAACACTAAATAAAGCATGAAAAAGAAATAAAAGTTTAGATCATTTTACATTTTACAATTGATTCGATAAAGATTTAATCATTTTTAAGCTCTAGATAAGATCTAGATAAGCTTTTTATAAGCTCTAGATAAGCTCTATATAAGCTCATAAAAGGCTATCTACGGGAGTGATTTGTAGATTTGTAGGGTATTTTTTTTGGAAAAGAGAGCTCATTTGATGAGTGTAAAGAGGTGTTTGACGTACTGTAGAATAAGATTTGTTAAGGAGATTTGAAGATAAGATTAAGTATTAAAGAGATTATAGAAATGGATGTAAATGAGCCAGCGCAAAGCTTTTTATTCTAGACTAGATGAAGAGCCAAGTCTGGCTGACTCTGACTGACTCTGACTGACTCTGGCTGACTCTGGCTGATTCTGGCTGACCCTGACTGACTCTGGCTGACTCTGGCTGACTCTGGCTGACTCTGGCTGACTCTGGCTGACTCTGGCTGACTCTGGCTGACTCTGACTGACTCTGGCTGACTCTGACTGACTCTGACTGACTCTTAAGCACTTTGTAAACTAAATTGCAAAGCCAAATCAGCTTACTCAAAGCCTAGGCTTCGTCAAGACCGGGTAAAGCTAAGTAGGAAAGCTAAGAACAAATCAGATCAAAGCTTGGCTTGGCTTGGCTTTGAAAGGTTTTTAAACAAAACTTTCGCATCTCGTTTACGTTCCAGTTGAACACAAAGTAAACGATGAAAAAGTGAGAGAGATAAACGCTGATAAATCTCCCGAAAAAACGATCGATCAAACCAAAACAGCTGTTCAACGAAAAAAAGAACAAAAACAAACAAATTTGTAGAAATTTCTTGACACATTTGTCATTTGAGCATTCTACTAGGTCAACCACCGGTGAAATCGTATCGATTGAGGATCAAAACGAAGAAAAGAAGCAGTAAGGCTCCTTGGCGGCAATGGGATTCATGTCGATGTAGCTCATTGGTAGAGCGTTTGCCTGGTAAGCGAGAGGTAAGGGAGGTCGAGGGTCCGAATCGACGAACAACCAATAAAAGGATTGGCTATAAAAGGATCGGTTTCACCTGGCTTTTAACTTCCGATTGAAACTTTAACTTCTTGAACTTCTTAGGTTAACATCTGGGCTAGCTAATTTGCTAGGCTAGATAAAGAATTCATTGTGCTAGAAAGGCGTTTCGTTTGCTTGGGTGGTTGGCTTGGCTAGCTGGTTGGCTTGGCTAGCTGGCTAGCTGGGTGGCTTGGCTAGCTGGCTAGCTGGGTGGCTTGGCTAGCTGGGTGGCTTGGCTAGCTGGTTGGCTTGGCTAGCTGGTTGGCTTGGCTAGCTGGTTGGCTTGGCTAGCTGGTTGGCTTGGCTAGCTGGCTGGCTTGGCTAGCTGGCTGGTTTGGCTAGCTGGCTAGCTGGTTGGCTTGGCTAGCTGGCTGGCTTGGCTAGCTGGCTGGCTTGGCTAGCTGGCTAGCTGGTTGGCTTGGCTAACTGGCTAACTGGCTAGCTGGCTAACTGGCTGGCTTGGCTGGCTGGCTGGCTAGCTGTCTGGCTATCTAGCTGGCTGGCTGTCTAGCTGTCTAGCTGTCTAGCTGGCTAGCTGGCTATCTAGCTGGCTAGCTGGCTGGCTAGCTGGCTGTCTAGCTGTCAGCTGTCTAGCTGGCTAGCTGGCTATCTAGCTGGCTGGCTGGCTAGCTGGCTGTCTAGCTGTCTAGCTGGCTAGCTGGCTATCTAGCTGGCTGGCTGGCTAGCTGGCTTTCAGACCAAGTTTTTTTCTAGATTAGGTAAAAATTAAAGACAAAATTCGCTAATGAGAAAGTAGACGTGTTTTAAGAAAGACTTTACTCATTGGAAAGCCATATTGTTACCCATTCCCTCAACTGTTTGAGTGTTCATAGCCGAATGACGAGTTGCCCAATCCCCAATTGTCCCCTTCTCCTTCTTTGTGTAATAGTTTTGAGGAATCTTCCCCCTCCCCATTTCACCCCCAATAACACTTTTTAAACGATTTCATTGACTCAATATTTTCTCGATATTCTTTTTTTTTTTTGCTGAAATCATTATCATTTTTCAAGTTTTCACATTGAAATTTCTTTGGATTCGATAGAATTACAACAATTTGCCCAATAGTTTCCATAAACTTGGGCTTTTGAATGCACTTTGAGCTCTTTGAGCTAAAGTTTGTAAAAGTACCCTTTCTGGCACACTGAATTCTTCATTTTCCAGTAAAATATACTTTTGAATGAAGATTTATTGTCTAGAAATAGTAGAAGATTTTGATATGGTTCTAAAAATGAAAAAAAGGACTTGAAAGATATCAAACTTAATAAAATGAATATAGCCAATCGATTCTCCGACCTCGAAAACCCTTGGGTAAAAATTTACATCGAAATATCTTCTTTTTAAGCCAGTTACAAAAGAAAAAGAGAGAAGAGCAGAGTGTTCTTTGTGCGTTCTTCGTGCTACGATGTAATCGCTCCCTTTCTGGCACATCGTCCCGATAGATAGTCTCGAGAAGCCTCTTGGCTTCAAATCATGATGGAGTTCGACGGTCAATGAGGGTGTTCTTTGTGCGTGCTTCGTGCTGCCCTCTAATCGCTCCCTTTCTGGCACATCGCCCCGATAGATAGTCTCGAGAAGCCTCTTGGCTTCAAATCATTATGGAGTTCGACGGTCAATGAGGGTGTTCTTTGTGCGTGCTTCGTGCTGCCCTCTAATCGCTCCCTTTCTGGCACATCGTCCCGATAGATAGTCTCCAGAGGACGGCTGGCTTCAAATCATTCTGGCTTTCGTCCGGTGCCGTTGTCCCCTCGCCCACTTGAGCCCATTTCTCCCAAATGACCAAAACAGCAACGTGGTGCATTGCCAAAGCTGGTGACTATCACTCTGAAGCAATCTGGTTCGATCCCCTTCCCGGAAATTCCCTTTTTTTAACCCAAATTACATTGGAATAAGATAGAAAAAGACCTTTTTTTGATTAAAATAACCCTTCTTTAGCATTTTATATTGTAATATAGCTTTAAGCTATTCAAAATTAAACCTATTTCAAGCTAAAGTACAAAAAAAAAAGAGCTGATCTTGTACATTCTAAATGGTGATAGGGAAAAATTCTTTTTTTTAAGCATTCATTTTATTCGTTTCTTGTTTTTGAGCTCTATTTTTGTTAGATGTTCACATAAAGTCCATAAAATTTGCTGTTTCCGAATTCAGAATGATATCTTTTTGTATTTCTTTTCATTTTAAATGAAATTTTAGTTCAATCGCCTTTTCAAGCGGTTTTTTTTGATCGATTTCTTCTCTATCACTTTTGCAAAATCTTTCCTTTGTGACTTTTCTTCTATTTTTTTGCTTTTATTCTCTTCTATATCTTCTATTTTAGAGATATTTTCAGCTCAAAATTCTTTTTCAGCTCAAAATTGCTTTCCTCTACCTAAAGAAAGCTTAAAACAAAAAAAAAAGAACAATAAAAAAGAACGTTTTACGTTTTAATAACGTTCTAACGATCGTTTTCAAAGTTTCAAAGCTGATTTGCATATTTAAAAGTGATTTTTGTTTGTCTAAACAGTTCCAAAAGCTGTAGATTTCAAGAAATTTCAAGAAATTTCTAGAAATTTCAAGAAATTCCATCGGAAACTAAAAACCCTACAAATTTCAGTGAAATTCCTTTACAAATCTTTTCAAAAACCCATAGATTAGTGACTTTTTCACCTTAAAAATGGACAATATCTCAAAGAAAGGTGAAAAAAAAGCGACAAATGACTTAAATCTATGTGAAAAGAAGAAAAAGACAAGAAAAAGACAAGAAAAAGACAAGAAAGACAAGAAAGAAAAGAAAAAGAAAAGAAAGACACGCAACTCCTCATCCGATCTCTCAAAAAGAACCCATCCATTTAAAAATTTTTCCTCTTTTTGTCATCTTGATATAAAATTTCTTATGCAGTAAGAAAATCATTTATTCTTCAAAAATCATTCATTTATCTTCAAAAATAAACTTATTCTTTCTTTCTATCTAATTTTATTGGCTACTTTTAAACGCATTTATCATTTTATTAAACGCTCCACCACTTTTCCTCATTTCCATAACTTTAAGCTCAAATTTCTTCGTGTTTAGCTGTTGAATTCAAATCCTTTTAATATCATTAGATGCGCCACGTCTTTAGCTATCGATTGATATAAAAACTATTGAAATTGGATGAAAATTGGAGCAACGGAGCTTATATACGCGCCCCGCCCCCTTTTCCCATTTCCATAACTTTGAGCTCAAATTTCTTCGTGTTTAGCTGTTGAATTCAAATCTTTTTAATATCATTAGATGCGCCACGTCTTTAGCTATCGATTGATATAAAAACTATTAAAATTGAATGAAAATTGGAGCAACGAAGCTTATATACGCGCCCCGTCCCCTTTTTCCATTGCCATAACTTTAAGCTCAAATTTCTTGATCCCCTTTCATCCAACTTTAATAGTTTTTATATCAATCGATAGCTAAAGTCTTCGCGCATCTAATGAAATCTAAAAAGATTTTAATTCAACAGTTCAACCCCAAGAAATTTAAGCTCAAAGTTATGGAAATGGGAAAAGGGGCCAAGCGCGGGTCAAATATCCGATCAAATCCTCAAATGTCTCATTTTATTGCATAACTTTCTACAGTAATCCATTCAGAGTACTTTAAAATAAAGTATTCATTCGCTAATTTGCATTTAGACTCTCCTCGGCTTCTCTGATGAGAAAAAAAGCTTGACATGCAAAAGGTAAACGATTTTCTGATGTACTGTGGATATAAAACTAGAAACAAACATTTCCTGGCGCATTGTTCTTAAGATTTCCCCCATTTCAGGTATGGCAGTGGTTGCGTGATCGAAAAACGCACACTCTTCGGAAATGGCGAAGTGCTATGGTTGGCTCGAGGGATCATATCGATAGAAATGGTAGAGGTAAAAAAAGCGAAAAAATGGCACAAATGGCAGATCTAGAAAGTCTCAGGTCTAGAAAGTCTCTTAATCTAATAGTCTAACAAAAAATAAACAAAATAGCCTTTAAAAGTCTGAAAAAAACATTTGTCGGTTCTTTTGGCTTTTAGAAATTTCGGTTTTTCGTCTTTTTGCTCAGCGGTAACTCTTCTATATTGACTATTTTAACGAGCATTTGATGAAGAATGAAATTACGCATCGAATGACACCAAAAACAACTTAAAATGAAATATTGGTCAAAATACGGCTGAAAAATGCCCGTACAGTAAGGCCGACAGAAAGACAGACAGAAAGACAGACAGATACCGTAACCCCCCCCCCCCCTCCTCCTCATTTTCCGCCATTTCATTTCCCCTTTTTGCGCAGGAATTCTTTTTATAAAGTTTTCATTGACTTTTCTTTTTTTTTTGCTTCTTTTTCAATGAATTTTATTTTGTTTCTTCTCTTTTTAGGCGTTCTGCGTTCTTCTTCATTTACCCAGCTCATTTTCACTTATATCGCCATTTTCATAATAAATCCTCACTACTAGCCTTATAACGAAAACATCTGTCGGTTCTTTTGCTGTTTTTCGGTTTTTCGTCTTTTCCTCAGCAGTAACTCTTCTATATTGTCTATTTTCACTCTCATTTGATACAGAATGAAATCGCGCATCGAATGATACCAAAAACAACTTAAAATATAAAATCCATGCAAAGTTATGAGGCAAAAGGTTAAATCCGGCGGGGTTTCGGTTTTTAGCCAACAGCTTTACGTGGATATTATATTTTGAGTTGATTTTGGTATTATTCGATGCGCAATTTTATTTTGAATCGAATGATAGTCAATATAGAAGGGTTAGTGCTGAGGAACCGTATTGGAACTGTATTGGAACTGTATTGGAACTGTATTAGATCAAAATAGGAACCGTATTGGAACCCTATTGGAACCGTATTGGAACCGTATTGGAACTGTATTAGATCAAAATAGCTGAGAAAAACCTTAAATTGCTGGCGGCAAAAAAGAACCGACAGTTTTTTTTGGTTATGAGTCTATTTTAGTCGTTATGAGTCTAAAATTGAAAATCAACCAATAAGAATCTAATGGATTACACAAGCAGATCAATATTTTCTCTAAAATTCGTTTTTCCCAAATCTTTTATATCCAGTTTACCGAAAATAGCCTTTCTTTAAAATAGCCTTTGTTCAAGTAGAGCTCTTAACGCTCTGGCAAGTACAAAGAAAAAGTAGAAACGCACAGGCTACTGGCATACCTTAATTCTGAAATCCAAAGGTCGGTGTGCCAGAAAGCTTGCGTTTCAAACCCAATCGATACTTTCAAAATCTTCATCTTACTTGTAAAACCTCAAAAAAGTTCGCCAAAGCCTGTTCACTCAGAAATGAGTTTTCTTTTCCTTTTCCTTTCATTTCAAAATTTCCTCCTGTCACCGGCCAATCTCAGCGAAGTCTTTTCTGCGTCAATCCTTCACTTTTCCTCTTTTTGTCTCAAATTTCGTATTGCGGTGAAAAGCCGTTTCTTGCAGTTGATTTTTTGATTTTTTTAGCCTTTTCCCGGTCATCACTCAAGAAAAATTCATCTTTTTCTTTTGAAAAAATCTTTTTGACTTTCCGCTTACAATCTTTTCCTCATTTCAAGTATTTTTAGCTTTTAGTTTAAGTTTTTAAAAGAAAGAACAACCACAGGGTGAGAAGCACAAAGTTTTACTGATTTACTGAGCTTTACTGATCTTCAGCTTTTCTTCAGCTTATCTTCAGGTTATCTTTAGCTGATCTTCAGCTTATCTACATCCAAATTCAACCATTGTGACATCCAGAGATAGCTAAAATAGCTAAAATAGCTAAAATTGAAGAATAATAAGAGAACAACAAACAAAAAGAGAAAACCAAACAGAATTCCTTTCATTTTTAGGCAATCCTCGTCACGTGGAATCACTGTCAGCTCTACAAGAGACTCCCTCTTGTTCCTATCAAAATGTTAGCCAATCAACGCCTGACTTTGAAGAATTCTTTGAAGGAGCCGCTCCAGGGATTCAAGAAGCCATTGATGTAAGGAAATCTTGACCGGACTATCGGATCCCTTTGAGTACAGATTTGGCTCTTTTTCGGTACAGATTTGGTTCCTTTTCTCTACAGATTTGGTTCCTTTTCGGTACACATTTGGTAGATAGTTTTTCAAAGGGTTGTCGCTGTATTTGTCGCTGTATAGTTATTTGGTGAATTTTGTAGTCAGAAATAGCTATTGATTTACATTAAGCTCTGCGTTTATCTATATGCAAAGATGAAGATTGAATCTTCTTCTTTGACTTAGAGATTAATGCGCAGCAAGACTGATCCTTCAGGACCAGAAATTTGGTCAGAAGATCAGCCCCGATGCTCAGGCTTAGGCTCAGGCTCAGGCTCAGCTTAGGCTCAGGCTCAGGTTTAGGCTTAGACTTTACTGTAGAATATAGAATTAAACTTGAAATGAAGCCTGGGAAAATTAGCATATCTCTCAACAACGCCTGAATTCAATCCGCTTCAGCGCCGCGGATCGTTCACATTCCGCTCGTCGCCACGCAGAAGTCGCAAAACAATCCTCGCCTCTCCCGTTCTTCCGCCAGATCTCGATGAGGATGGGTACGTAAAAACGACTCCTCCTAAAAGCTACCCAATATTCATATAAATATTCATTATGTAGATGGGCTCAATTGAAAGTGGATGGAGGTGGAGGCAGTCCCCCGCAAAGGAGAAGCCCAAGGCAGATACGATTCAAAATACCCGAGGTTTGAGATGATTTTTGAGGCTATCATTCTATAGAAAAATAGGCTTAAAACTATAGATATTGTCAGTAATATTGTGAGTAAAAAAAGTCTTGAAAAACAAAAGCATTTGCCGCCAGCAGGGGTCGAACCTGCGGCCTTTGGCTTATTAGACCAATGCTCTAACCGACTGAGCTATGGCGGCACGGTGGAGGGGGCAAATTTTGTCTACTAGAGAGCGATTGAGATGAGATTAGCCGAAAGCATTCAAATTCAAAATTTGTCAAAGGACTTTGTACTTAACTCCCTCGGAAGTGGGGGTCAAAAGAGCCCTGTGGTGTAGTGGTTAGCACAGTTGACTGGTAAGTGGAAGGTCTCTGGTTCGAGTCCAGGCAAAGCTTTTTGTGCTACTCAAGTTCCAACTTTTGTAACCTTGTTTCTCTTGTCTTGTTTCTGTTATTCTGGTGCATTGAATTCTTAACTTTCTTGCGATATTACTACAAGAAAATGATAGAGTTCCATGAAAAGTCTAAGTTCTCCCGTTTTCTTCTCTCTTTTCCCCGTTTTCCCATCCGGATTATGCTGTGCTTTCTTGTTATTCACTTCATCGGACAAATTGCCCAAAGACATGCCATTTCTCTTTCTCAATCTCTCCAATTGGATTTCCCAACTGAAAATAATTGGCTTTCTTACTGAATTCTTTGTTTTTTTTGAAAAACAAGATTTAGAAATTGAAATTTACAAGTTTTCTGTTCTGTTTCATTGAAAAATTTCATTTTTTTCGTTTTTCTGTCGTTTTTTCGTTTCTTTCTCATTCCAAACAACTTTTACACTTCTAAAATATATTAAATCTTTCCTTTTCCCGTCATCTTTTCTTCATTTTATCTAAACTATCCATTCTTTTGTCTGAGAAAAGATAAAAAGATATAAAAAAGTGAATAGATTCAATAGAAATCGACAAAAATCTTTTAAACCTTCAAAAATCTCAAATCTTTCAAAATAAAAATGTTTCAAATGTTTCCCTGGCTTCGTTTTACAAGATTTTGACTAGAAACCAGCTCTTGACCCAGCTCTGAACGAGCTTTTCCAGTTTTAAATTTTCTAAATCAGATTTTCTGTATTCTAAAGTTCTTTCTGATAAACCCGGGTCTTGATCAGGCTGTACTTATAAAGCTAGGCTCAAGTAAAGTACAGGACCTGTACTTGAGCCAAACCTAAGCCCTAGGCTTAAGTCTAAGTCTAAGCTTAATTTAGCAAGCATACTCCCCTTGGGTTCCAAAGCACAAGGGCTATCAGGTGTCCCTTAGCTCCGGGAACTGGCAGAGTTCCAGAGAATGAAGGTTCAGCCTAACCCTGAGCCTAAGTCCAAGCCCAAGCCTAAGCCTAAGTCCAAGCCCAAGCCTAAGCCTAAGCCGGCCAAAAAAATGGGGGTCCCCCACCCAAACCTACAGCTTGTGGCGCTAGCGCAGCCCCCCCAAAGTCCAAGCCTTAGCCTAACTGAGCTCCGGGAACTGGCCTAGATCTAGAAAATGGGCGGTTAGCCCAAACCCAAATAGACTTAGTGCGAAGGCTAGCGGCTAGCGCCTCGCACTTAGTCCAAGCCTGAGCCCAAGCCCAAGCCTAAGCCTAAGCCTAAGCCTATGCCCAAGCCTAGGCCCAAGCCTATGCCCAAGCCTAAGCCTAAGACCAAGACTATGCCCAAGCCTCTGTCCAAGCCTATGCCCAAGCCTAAGCCCAAGCCTAAGCCTAAGCCTAAGCCTATACCCAAGCCTATGCCCAAGCCTATGCCTAAGCCTAAGCCCAAGCCTAAGCTAAGCCTAAGCCTATACCCAAGCCTATGCCCAAGCCTAAGCCCAAGCCTTAGCCTAAGCCTAAGCCTATACCCAAGCCTATGCCCAAGCCTAAGCCTAAGCCTTAGCCTAAGCCTAAGCCTAAGACCAAGCCTATGCCCAAGCCTAAGCCTAAACTAGTATGCCAATCGAAATCTCGAAAATCTGTTCTCTATTTATTTTTTAAATTCCTTCATTTTCTTGAAATCAATATTTCCCTAAAAATTGGCTCAATGTAGCCAAAAAATTCTTTTTTTAACCTATAAAAGAAACTTTGCAAACCCCCAAAAGAAAAGTCTATCCAATTCAAATTTTTTTAATCCCTCAATGTACCAACTTTTCAGGATTTTTGAATAGAAATGAAATTTGAAAAAATAAAAATGAAATTTGATAGAAATAAGATCTTGAACATGAAAAAATCACCGAGAACAACCTGTGAGAAAATGAAATTTTAACGGAAACCTCCCCAAAAACCAAATAACTATTTTGCGCGGGGAAAATTGGCTCAAAAAAACATAAAGAGATCAAATTTCAGAGGAATTTCAGCAATTTTCCCCGATAGAATCATCAAATTTTCATGAACGTTTGGGTTTTTGCTCAGAAATTGTTATTAGTTTGTCTTTGTAATTTGTAGAGAATTCACCGTTTCGGTCAACTCGAGTGATATCCAGATTGGCCATTTTGATGGAAATTGAGCAATTCTGATGCACTAGAAGGCTAGGATTTCTCCATTCTTGTAAATGCCAGATTGACTGTAACTAACTTATAGAGAATTCGGGTATCTAACGATTAGATCAATTAAAGTGATATCCAGATTGGGCATTTTGATGAGAATTGAGCAATCTCGATGCAGTAGAAGGCTTGGATTGCTCCAATCTTCTAAGCGCCAGTTTGACTGTAACCAATTTATGGGGAATTCGGGTGTTTAACGTTTAAATCGATTAAAGTGATATCCAGATTAGACATTTTAATGGGAATTGAGCAATTCTGATGCACTAGAAGGCTTGAATTCATCCCTTCTTGTAAACACCAATTTGACTGTATCCAATTTGTGGGGAATTCGGGTATTTAACGCTTAGATCAATTAAAGTGATATCCAGATTGGGCATTTTGATGGGAATTGAGCAATCTCGATGCACTAGAAGGCTTGGATTCCTCTATTCTTCTCGCGCCAATTTGGCGGTATCCAATTTGTGGGGGATTTGGGTATTTAACGCTTAGATTAATTAAAATGATATCCAGCTTGGACAATTCATGGCCAATTGAGCAATTCTGATGCACTAGAAGGCTTGGATTGGCGAAATCTTGTAGTGATTGATGACTTTTCCCAGCTTTCCTGAACTTTTGTCTACAATCGCCTCCTCTAAATGAAGCCGAATCTTTTCCATTCGCATTCATCTGATTCTTTCTCCTTCATTTCCCATTTTCTTCTTTTCTTTTCACTCGACTGCGTGACCAAAGTGAATTTCCCGTTTTTCCCATTTGCTGACTCCAGAAATTTTCTTTTCTTTTATTTTCCGCTTACAATTAGCTCAATTCTAATTTGGAGAGATCCAATTTTCGAGAGAATTTCTAGAATCAGTAAGATTACCTCTAGAAATCCTATCCTGAATCCTGTTTTCTTAAACATTACAAACTTCTAGGTACAAATCTCTTTTGAAGAAGAGGAGCCGCATAATTTGCATTTCGAGGAAGAGTACCCGTCACGCCAAGGATCGCCTATTCCACCGCCCATCGAAATCGAGTGGAGCCCAGCACAGGTGAGAAATGATGATTCGGATGTAGGAAAATGGCTGGACTCAAGTCTGGATTTTCGCCTGATCTGACAATTTGTGGCTGCTTCTTGAGGAAAAAGGAAAAATTTTTGCACCAGCAGGGGTCGAAGCTGTGACCTTTAGCTTAACAGAAGAGCTATGACTTCGAGGCTTTCTTCGAGCTTTCTTCGAGCCTAGAAGTGTTCGACTAGAAGATTTTGAACCAAAATAAAGCCAAATAAAGCCAAATAAAGCCAAATAAAGCCAAATTTAAGGCAGAGATTTTTCCCAAAAGATTGTCTACCTGTTTTTCAGCTATAAACTTGTTTTCGAGGGTTTTCGAGGTCGCGCAATTGACTGAAGCTATTCATTATTGAGCACTGAAGCATTTTCTATCAATTAGAATTGGTCTAGACTTTTGGATACATCGATTTGGGCTAAGTAGGAGATAAGCCTGAAGTCAGGCAAACCTTGTGCTCTTTGTAAACGTTTCGGCTATGATTCTATAGTAAGAAAAAGCCTAAAACTATAGAGATTGTAAGTAACGAAATAATAAGTAAGTAATAAGTAATAAGTAAGTAATAAGTATTAAAATCATAAGTATTGTCAGTAGTAAAAGGTAGTTTTTAAAAAGAAAAAGCATTTGCCGGCAGAAGGGGTCGAACCTGCGGCCTTTGACCTAACCGACTGCTCAACAGACGAGGCTCTAACCGACTGAGCCATAAGGGCACTGTGGAGGGAGGCGAATTTTTTCTACTAGGCGTTGATGGAGAAGAGATTAGATTCGAAATTCGTCCAGGACTTTGTACTTAAGCCCTCTTAAGCGTGGGAAACCAAGTGCTGCGAGGTGTAATGGTTAGCACCGTTGCCCAGTAAGCGAAAGGTCGGGGGTTCGAGTCCCGGTGGTGCAGAATTTTTCATTTTTCTTTTTCTTAACTTCAGAAAGAAATCAAGAGCGCAAAAGAATACCAAATTAATTGATTTAATTAAATTTAATTAAATGACTGCCTTGATTCCAACTCTAATTGTAAAAAAGTAATAAAACCTAAGTAACCATCTAATAGATAAGCGGTACCAGAAGCATTTAATTGCATTGAATTCGATTTTCTTTCTAAAAGTACTAAACTTTAGAACTACTCGAGCGATTTGAACAGTATGAGCCTCCATTCGGACACCAGCCGGCCAAGCCTCAGAAATGTTAGACCGGTGAGGGGTTTTTACTCAAAAGATTATCTCAAATCCATTTTGCATTCTATCTTTTTCTATAATTCTCCAATTCTCCAATTCTCCAATTCTCCAATTCTACAATTCTATAATTCTATTTTTACATTCCCCTGGATTATTTTATGAAAAAAAATCCTATTTGGTGAGATTTGAGAAAAGAGTTGAAAGGATTACTCCAGTTTCTTCCCGGTCCAGATATTAGAAACAATTTTTGACGATTCTATTTAGTATCTATAAGTACGACGTAGTTTCTATAAGCTCTACGTAGTCTTTAGAAGTTCTACATAGCTTCTAGAAGCTCTACACAGCTTCTAGAAGCTCTACACAGCTTCTAGAAGCTCTATAAAGCTTCTAGAAGCTCTACATAGTATCTATAAGCTCTACCTATTATCTATAAGCTCTGCATAGTATCTACAAGTCCTACATAGGATTTAAAACCTCTACATAGACTTTATATATTGGGTTGGGGAGAATGAGTCGGCGCCGAAAATCAAAAAAATGTCTTAAACTTCTATTCGACTTCGTCAAATAATATGCGTTTGATATGAGTAGAATGGTTAACTAATTCTCTACAAAATCACATTTAAAAGAAAATTCAAACACCGCCTCCGCTCAAGAAAAAGCCATTTTTTCACAAAAACTACAAACTGTCATCTAGAAAAAAGCATTGGTGGGATCTTCCTGCAAATTTGGCAACTTAAGTAATTGAATGTGCTCTATCTTTTTTATATAAACACCAAAGAAGGTTTATGTGAAAGAAACTGTTCAAATGATGAGTCGGACTCTTTGCCATTTTAACCAGCTGCGTTATGGAAGTTCATAAACTCCACGAAAGAAAAGCTTTGTGGAATCTCTCAAAAGTGATTTTGTAGAGAAATAGTGGATCCTTTTGATGAAACTAAACGTATGTTTAAAGAAGGCTTTATGTGTGCAAAAAGTCCCTTTAAAGTTTGGCGCCGACTCATTCTCCCCAACCCAATAGTTCTACATAGTAAAATTTTACGATTACAGTATAGCAAGATCTCTTAGCCTTAAAATTTGTCAAAGAAAAAGCCGGAAAACCCAACGGCAATGTTTTGGCTTTACTGGCTAGATGTTTTGAGGCAACGCTGTCGTCGTGGCCCAATCGGGAGCATAGCATACTCCCTTTGGGTTCCAAAGCACAAGGGCAATCGGGTGTCCCTTAGCTCCGGGAACTCGAGATCCAGAATATGGGGGTTCAGCTTTCTGTCGCTTTTCTGTATTTATCAAAATACGGCTGAAAAAATGCCCGTACAGTAAAGCAGACAGAAAGACAGACAGAAAGACAGACAGGCAGAAAGACAGACAGAAAGACAGACAGACAGAAAGACAGACAGACAGAAAGCCAGACAGATACCGTAACCCAAATGATCCGGGTTCGACTCCCCATAGAAATCTTTTGGTTGAAAGAGCTGTGCTTTCACTAGCCGAAAAACCCGGTTAACAGTTTAAGGCCGGATTTTTCTGGCTGAGCTGCCAGGTCTCCGTGGTGCAATCGGGAGGGCGCTTTGCTAGAGATCATAGGGTCCGGGTTCGACTCCCGGTAGTGCGGCTCGATCTCTTATTTTTGATTTTTTAATTAAAAATGTCATAACTATTTTATGTTTTAAGACTTTTCAAATAATTTCAGCTGAGAAAAAGGTTTTAGGCTTAAAAATGGCTGAGAAAAAGCTGTACAGACACTGCTAGAATAGATCTTTATGTTCTTTTCATTTTCTTTTCATTTTCTTTTCATTAAAATCTTTTATTTAGACAGTAGAGTAGCTTTAGGTTGATTCAGTGACCGTAACCTTAAAGTAAATAGTCTCTACCGTAATCAAAAACTACTTAGACTAATGTTAGAGTTAAAGAGAGATAAAAAGGGGTTTGATTGACTGCTTTGAAAGGAAGAAAATGATTTTTCGTTGATTTTCTTTCATTCCATTCCATTTCCTTTCATTTTAGGTCTCTTTTGATTGTTCATCGATGATTGATGAGCAATTGTATGGATCAACAGGCAGAGATTCAAGCATTTCAAATGATATGAGACGCAAATCGAGTCTCGCCATGCAAAGACGACAATCCAATCATCAGGTCTTTTTTTCCTTTTTTTTTAAACTTTCAAATTAAAATTTAATAGCGTAATGAGATAGAAAAATGAATAGATTTATAAAATATTTAACCAAAAATACTGTGCTCTCCATTTTAGCATTTTAGCAAACGACTCTTGTAAGAACAAGAGTTGTAAGACTTCATAAGTCCATAAGTCCAAATTTTCTTTCATACTTTAAAAAAACCATTGTTTAATTGATAGAATCAAACAAATTACGCAAACTTTCCCTTCTGGCACACTCGATTCTCTACTTTTAAGAGTTTTAGTGGTTTCGACATGTTTTCTAGAGTGTTTTCTTTTTTGCTTTTGCAAATCTACCAGAAATTCTGGTATTTGACGTTTAGATCAACTAAAGTGATATCCAGATTGGACAGTTTGATGAAAATTGAACAATTCTGATGCACTAGAAGGCTAGGATTGCTCCATTCTTGTAAGCGCCAGTTTGACTGTATCCATCTTGAAGGGAATTTGGTTATTTGACGTTTAGATCAACTAAAGTGATATCCAGATTAGACATTTCGTGGCTAATTGAGCAATTCTGATGCACTAGAAGGCTAGGATTGCTCCATTGTTGTAAATACCAGTTTGACTGTAACTAACTTATAGAGAATTCGCGTATTTGCCGTACCGGTTAACTTAAGTGCTACCCAGATTAGACATTTTAATGGGAATTGAGCAATTCTGATGCACTAGAAGGCTAGGATTGCTCCATTCTTGTAAGCGCCAGTTTGACTGTATCCAATTTGTGGGGAATTTGGTTATTTGACGTTTAGATCAATTAAAGTGATATCCAGATTGGACAATTCATAGCTAATTGAGCAATACTAATGCACTAGAAGGCTTGAATTCATCCATTCTTGTAAACACCAGTTTGACTGTAACTAACTTATAGAAAATTCTCGTATTTAACGTTTAAATCAACTAAAGTGATATCCAGATTGGGCATTTTGATGAGAATTGAGCAATTCTGATGCACTAGAAGGCTAGGATTGCTCCATTCTTATAAACGTCAGTTTGACTGTATCTAACTTGTAGGGAATTCGGGTATTTTCCGTTCCGGTTAACTTGAGTGCTATCCAGATTAGACATTTTAATGGGAATTGAGCAATTCTGATGCACTAGAAGGCGTGGATTCCTCCATTCTTGTAAACGCCAGTTTGACTGTATCCAATTTGTGGAGAATTCTGGTATTTAACGTTTAGATCAATTAAAGTGCTATCCAGATTAGACAATTCGTGGCTAATTGAGCAATTCTGATGCACTAGAAGGCTTGAATTCATCCATTCTTGTAAACACCAATTTGACTGTATCTAACTTGTAGGGAATTCTCGTATTTAACGTTTAAATCAATTAAAGTGCTATCCAGATTAGCCATTTTGAAGGCAATTGAGCAATTCTGATGCACTAAAAAGACAAACTTCGCGTGCATTTCATCTTTCCTCAGAAATTGGATAGCATTTCATTGTGGGAAAAGGGAAATGAGAATTTTGTGAATTTGAAATTCCCATCATTTGACCATATTTCTCCAGTTTTCTCCAGTTTTTCATATTTCCACTTTCTACTGTACTCTAAGCTACATTAAACATCAAGTACAAATCTTTGGTGGAAATCGAAAATCCAAAGCCTAGGATTTCTAGTGTGATATCCAGATAGAAGAAAAAAAGCAATTTCAATAAAATAGCTCTTATCAATTTTCAATAATCATCACGAACTCTCGACAGTGGAGTAGAACTAATTCTCTTCTCGAATCCTTTTTTAAAACATTTCAAACATCGATTTTTTTTTCCATTATTTCTCCTTTTTCTTTATCCAGATCTATTAAATGATTGGGTTTTTGAGCTAAAATTAGATACAATAGCGAAAACACGATAATGATTCTTTTAAGCGGTGATTTATTAGCTTGTTTATTAGCTTGTTTTCAAGGGAAAACCCTAAGAATTCTTTTCCCAAGAGATCAATGATATAAAAATCGATCTAATCCCTTTAATTCTATCAATTCTTTCATTGAAAAGCCTTTCTACTTTTTGTCCATAGCTAACAATGAATCTCCTGGCAATTTAGGAGTCTACATACCGTAAATACTGTAATAGTACGCCTCCTCCGTCGTACAGTCACGTAGTCGCAAGTATTTCATTATTTCATTTTTTTCAAAGCGCCCATACTTTCAAAAAATGTGCCTTTGATGGCATAAAATAGCCCTGAATTTCAGCTATTTTTTGATACCGAAGCGCGCATTGTAGCATAAACCAATGTCGAGAAAAACGCGTCCAAAGCTAGACTACGCAACACTCCGCACCGTCATTATCGGTGTGGGGTACTATTACAATATTTACGGTAATTGACAGTATTTACGGTAGGTTAAATTATTCCTCGCGTTAACTATCAAAATTAATATCTACTATGTAAAAGAAATGTCAATCGAACTATCGGAAAAGAATTAGGGGAAATGAAATGGCGGAAAAGGGAGGGTTACAGTATCTGTCTGTCTTTCTGTTTTCCGTGAATCAATTTGCAATTAGGTTAAATTATTCCTTAAATTAACTATCAAAATTAACATCTATATAAAAGAAATGCCAATAGAAACTATCGAAAAAGAATTAGCGCGCAAAAAAGAGGAAATGAAATGGCGGAAAAGGCGAGGGAGGGGGGGGAGGCTACGGTATCTGTCTGTCTTTCTTCTTCCCCTCTCCCTTCCCTCCTCCCCCCTCCCCTTCCCTCTCTCCCCCCCCCCCTCTCCCCCCCCCCCCCCCCCTTCCCTCCTGTCTGTCTTTCTGTCTGTCTTTCTGTCTGTCTTTCTGTCTGTCTTTCTGTCTGTCTTTCTGTCGGCCTTTCTGGGCATTTTCTCGGCATTTTTCTTTTTACCAAAGCTAAAACTGGTTTATCTTCAAGCAAATTCGCATTGAGCATTTCACATTTTTACACAATTGATTCGATAAATCTTAATCGGATTTCTTTATCGGATAAAGAATCAATTCTTTCTCGTCCCGTCCTCCGTCCGAACCATATTGGAACCATATTGAAACCATATTGGAACCATATTGGAACCATATTGGACGAACTCAAATTGGAACTCTATATTGAAAAAAAAAAAAAAAAAAAAAAAAAAAAAAAAAAAAAAAAAAAAAAAAAAAAAAAAAAAAAAAAGAAAAAAAGGGGGGGGGGGGGAGGTTACGGTATCTGTCGGTCTTTCTGTCGGTCTTTCTGTCGGTCTTTCTGTCGGTCTTTCTGTCGGTCTTTCTGTCGGTCTTTCTGTCGGTCTTTCTGTCGGTCTTTCTGTCGGTCTTTCTGTCGGTCTTTTTTTCGGTCTTCCTCTCGGTGTCTTTCTGTCGTCTTTCTGGTCTTTTTTCGGCCTTTTGTCTTTCTTGTCTTTCTGTGTCTTTCTGCTCTTTCTGCTCTTTTTTTTTTTCTTTCTTTCGGTCTTTCTGTTCTTTTTTTTTTTTCTTTTTTTTTTTTTTTTTTTTTTTTTTCTTTCTGTCGGTCTTTCTGTCGGTCTTTAGTATTTACAGTATTTACGGTAGGTTTAATTATTCCTCGCGTTAACTATCAAAATGAACATCTACTATGTAAAAGAAATGTCAATCGAACTATCGGGAAAGAATTAGCGCGCACTAAAATTTCTCATAACAATATTCAGCTAAAGGGCTTCAGTTTAGTAGAAAAAAAGCGAGTAAGAACTGGTGAAAATTTTGATTTAAAACTCTTCTTTACTCTTTCTTTTTAAATTCAATGGGACTTTTTGTCTCACTTTTCCACTTTTTTCATCAAGATCAATGACTTTTTGTCTCACTCAGATCACTCATTTCCACACAAACTCTAGCTTTTTCGATTCCCATTCTTTCCAATTGACAGCCGATCTTCTCTTTTTCAGTTTCCATCAACATCAATCTCTCAAAGTGTTCAAAAATATTTACTCTCAATTATTTTCCCTTTCGAATTTTCCCTTTGAACTGATTTTCCCTTTGAACTGATTTCCCTGCAATTCAAAAGTTTATTTAATTCACAGCATTGATTAACTAAGTATCATAGCTGTGAAATAGGATCGTATTTTGTCAAAGAATTTAAAAAGAATTGAAGAAATTGGAAAGAAAAGTAGATTTTAAAATTTTAACCCTCGACCTTTGCTTTAATCACTAAACTATCGGTTACCTTAACTTGCCAAGATAAAGAAGAAAGAAGAAAGAAAGAAGAAAGAAAGAAGAAAGAAGAAAGAAAGAAATACGTCTATAACTAAAATCATCTTTTCTTTCTCAGTTTTCTAAAATCACAGCGATTTCTTGTCGAATTTCCCTTGGGATTATCGATATCCTCCAAGAGTTTCTCTCTTCCATAATCAAATTTCTTTCTATTTCTGCGATTCGCAAAGTTTGCAAGTCTTAAACTTTAGATTTATCTATTTTCCTGCTATCAATCCACTTATTCATTTCATTAATGTCCTCTAAAGAATCGAAAGATCACTCGATAAACTCAAGTCTCTGCTCGACTGTGCGTAGCTATGGAAAGGTGATTGAGTGGTTTGAAATTCATTTGAAAAACTGCAGTCGATTTTGATTAGATAAGCTAAGTACAGTACAAGTAGTACAAGCAGTACAGTACAAGCAGTACAAGCAGTACAAGCAGTACAAGCAGTACAGTACAAGTAGTACAAGCAGTACAGTACAAGTAGTACATTACAAGCAGTACAGTACAAGCAGTACAGTACAAGCAGTACAAGCAGTACAAGACAGTACAAGTAGTACAAGCAGTACAGTACAAGTAGTACAAGCAGTACAAGCAGTACAAGCAGTACAAGCAGTACAGTACAAGTAGTACATTACAAGCAGTACATTACAAATAGTACAGTACAAGTAGTACAAGCAGTACAGTACAAGCAGTACAGTACAAGTAGTACAAGCAGTACAGTACAAGTAGTACAAGCAGTACAGTACAAGCAAGTGCAGTCATGTTTAAAGAGTTGAAAAGGCTGGAGTTATAGTTTAGTCTAGTTGTTTAGTCTTTTTAAAGACGTTTCCTCTAGTGTAGACTAAACTATAGCTCAACACTAGAGATTTAAGTCCATATTCTTATCATCTTTCAGCTAGTTGCGTCGATGTCTGGTCGTCGAACCTCGACAACACTCATCCCATTGACACAGGCACAGATACACCTCGTTCGATCGCTCTGGAGGCAAATCTACGTGTCAAAAGTGGTTTTTTAGAGAAAATAGATCAAGAAAATAGATTTTAGAATGTTTACTTCATTTTAACATTATAAATACTTACAGCCTACAGCTAAAGTCACTTTCAGGGCCCAACCGTCATCGGCACTAGCATTTTTCATCGATTGTGCTTCAAATGCCCGACGGTATGAGAAAAGTTTTCGTTTTTAGGCTTTAGAGATAAATGCTTGTATCTAAGTCGCTTCCAAATTCAATTCCAAATCGAAAATAAGAGTTTTTAGGTGAAAGAACAAGTGCGTCGTTGCCCTTTACCCCCACAATTCAACAACCATGACGGTTTTGTGAAAGCACATTGCAAAGCGATGGCTGAATTAGTGGATCAGGTGGTTTTGAAGTTTTAGAAATAAGAAGGAAAGGCTTTTGAAATAAAATGAAAAGATTTTCTAGTGTAATTTAACTGATTTTGATTATTTAAAGATTACAATAAGCTGAGTCAGAACTTTAAAGGAAATCAAAAGTTGAAAAAAAACGCGAGTGAACGCAAGCAAATAAATGATTTTCTCGAGAAATGAGCGGCGCAATTTTCCCTTGAAAGTAAAAATATTCAATTAAACAGTTGAATATCTTTTTTTACGAAAAGAAAAGGCTATATGAGGTTTTTTAGAAAGATTTTTCATTTTTTTTCATTTTTTTTCTGTTTCTTTTTTCTGTTTCTTTTTTCTTTTTCTTTTCCTTTTTTCTTTTTCTTTTTTCTTTTTCTTTTTCTATTTTTCTTTTTCTTTTTTCTTTTTCTATTTTTCATCTTTTAAAACCAACAAATGGACCAATTGAACTATATATATGTTGTATCCGATTTGGATTGAACTCACCGCGGATATCCGATTTGGATTTCAATCCAAATCGGATATCTGATTCTCTAAAGAATTATTTTATTATATATGTTGTATCCGATTTGGATTTCAATCCAAATCGGATATCTGATTTGGATTGAAACATTATTTCACAGTAGGGTGTCATGTTTTTAAAAGGTTTTTAATCATTTCCTAGAAATTTTATAGAGGTTTAAACTCTGGCAACCTAGAACAGTCCGTTAGCACCACCATTGCCCAAAAAAGTCGTTTATTTACGCGTTTTGACATGCTTCTGTATTTTTTTTATGTCTTTATCCTGTTTACCTTATTTTACGTTGTTGTTTTACAGATGGAGTCACGCTTCTACGAGAAATTCAACGGCTTCTTGGAGCGAAAAAAGACGAGCCAAATTCCGACAGCCGAAATCTACAAGCTGATGGTTGATCAAATTAAAGGTTTTAACGATTCAACACTGGAGACCTCAAAAATGAACTATCATGAAGCCAACTTGCTGAAGCCAACTTGCTGAAGCCAACTTGCTGAAGCCAACTTGCTGAAGCCAACTTGCTGAAGCCAACTTGCTGAAGCCAACTTGCTGAAGCCAACTTGCTGAAGCCAACTTGCTGAAGCCAACTTGCTGAAGCCAACTTGCTGAAGCCAACTTGCTGAAGCCAACTTGCTGAAGCCAACTTGCTGAAGCCAACTTGCTGAAGCCAACTTGCTGAAGCCAACTTGCTGAAGCCAACTTGCTGAAGCCAACTTGCTGAAGCCAACTTGCTGAAGCCAACTTGCTGAAGCCAACTTGCTGAAGCCAACTCTTTCAATCGAAAACACGGAAGTCACGCTTTATCACGAAGACGAACGACGGAAAGCCGGTAGCAAACCAGAAAGGCAACGAGTAATTCAACAAGAAGAACTCTTCAGCATTCTTTTCAAAACGCATGTTAAACTTGGGCATGCAGGGATATGCGTGCAAAAAAAGTGGTCTCCTCTGCAATTCCAGATGCCATCACAGTCTTAGTTGCAAGAACAAATAGTTGCTTTTTTCCACGTTTTTCTTTACATTGTCACCATTACATTTTGTTTAGTTACATTGTTTTTAAAGTTTAAGGTGTAGTTTCATCAATTTGCTTACTTAACCAGTTATTTTATTGTTTATGATTATTTTCATTTACGATACAGTCGCCGCTAATTAAATAAAGGGTTTTGAATTGAATTCACATTAAAATACAGGAAAGCCTTTTTTGGGCAATGGTGGTGCTAACGGACTGTTCTAGGTTGCCAGAGTTAAACCTCTATAAAATTTCTAGGAAATGATTAAAAACCTTTTAAAAACATGACACCCTACTGTGAAATAATGTTTCAATCCGAATCAGATATCCGATTTGGATTGAAATCCAAATCGGATAAAAATCCAAATCGGATACAACATATATAATAAAATAATTCTTTAGAGAATCATAGATTCAATTTTTTTATTCAACGAAAGAGTGAAAAGAAACGAAACGACTTTCTGC